TATTTTTTCCTTTTCGACAACTTTATCTTGGTTCTACTTAGAACTCCAAGCCGCAAAACTCGAACCGAAAATCGCAAAACCTGAATAACTATGGGTCTAGGGTTATGGATTCCTTAACTTGACTATGCCAAACAATAAACAAGGAACTCTTGTTATGACTCTCACTTTATATTCGAATGTTCATGTGGAATTGAGAAACTATACATGGTTGAACATTGACATTAAAGCTCGGGTAATCAATTTGATTGCTTTAGTAATTTTCTCTCAATCTTGAACTTGCTATAATCAGCGACCAAGCTCCCATTAACTTTATGCTTCATGTTCTCCACTAAACCGGTCAAAACCTGTAAATGGTTCAAACCAAAAACAGAGATTATGAAAACATCCGGCCACATAACTGTTAGAAATTGAGTTCAAAGATACTCAAATAAGTTCGCCCAAAAACAAAAAGATACTCAAATAAGTATCTTGAGGCAAGGGCCCTTCCGCCAAATTGAGAGAATTCAAGTCTGATCTGAACAATTTCAAAAGTGAATTGAAAAGAACAACAACTGGAAGCTTGAACGCTGCTGCCCGAGATGAGTTACTCGAAGCCCGTATAGCTGAGACAGTGACGGTATGTAAGAGACTCAGTAGTATTGTTCAATTTGATATAATCGTGATCTTTGCTAATAAAACAACTTTTGGCTTGTTTGCTAGTAAAACACTTTCTCTTGCACCAGATTCTCAACTATATTGAAAATCAAAGTGACAAAAGAAAGATGAGAATTTATGGCTTTATGTGATTGGTATCGCAATTTTGACCAATATTTAGAACTCTGATACAGCTTAGTGGAGATCTTGACTGGCATGACGAGGAGGATGAACAAGAACAAATGGACCATTGGAGCCATTATCACCGCTTTGGTTGCCGCCATTATCCTCATCTTGTACTTCAAACTCACCAAGTAAGCCTCTGTAACTAAACCCGACCAAATCTTTGTCACTCTGGAATAAAAATGGTGTGTTCGTTTGTGAATCTTTGATTTATGTTTTTCTTCTTTGAGTGTGAAAAGTTGTGTCTTTGCTACTTTTGTATTCTAAATTCCTTGTCAATTAATTGTTCATGTCGGATCAAGAACTATATACATGGTTAAACATTGAGAGTAAAAACTAGTTGTGTATTTTTCTCTCATTCCTGAACATGTTATAATCAGCGAGCAAGCTCTCGATAACCTTATGCTTCATGTTATCCACCAAACCGGTCAAAACCTGTAAAGCAAATCAAAAACCAAAGATCATGTAAAATAACTAGAAACATCACGTCTTCAGTGTGCAAAACGCATCCATGAAATAGTTTCTAACCGCATTGGCCACGTTTCTCCTAACACCTTCGGGAACTAGCTCGAGAACCGAAGGAAGCACAAAGCTTACGTTCATCTCTAGTCGACCTTTGAGCCTTGCGTGATTTCCATGTCGATCTGGGTACAATGCTCCTTTGACTCCGAGAGTGAAATCAGTCGGTTTCATAACCCGGTCAAGCCCTTGAAGCTTCCATTTTATCTGTAAACCGGAGTTGGAAAAGTAATAGACCATTGAGATAAAAGAGGTGTGCTTGTGTATGTCAATCTTGTGTTGTTGTTTATTACCATGTTGAGCTCAAGAACTTTGGTTACGTCTAGTGGTATCTCCGGCGGGTAATCTTGGCCGTTGGATATGCATCGGATCCGCATGTCCACGACTGGCCAAGCAGTGAGAAAGAGGAAGTTTATTGGTAACATTTGGATTCTCCATTCTTCCTGCACAAATGGTAAAAAGTCTAAACAAGGCCGGTTCGGAAATTTTGGGGGCCCAAAGCAAAAACTAATAAAAATTTAGATTTTTGTGCTTATTTAAAAAAAAACAAGACTAAAACATAAAAATTTTAAAATGTAGAGACCTTTTTTCAGTTTTTGTATGTTTATGATTTAGGTTAAATAATTAAAGATTTCATAGGAATAACTAATTTTATTGAAAAAATGAGAAAAAAACTAAATAATCAAAAATGTCTAGTAAATCTAATTTTTAAAAATCCATCTATAATATTGTTTAAAATATAATTAATTAATTAAAGATAAAAACACATTGGTTTATTGATTTGGTTCGGTTTTACACTGAACCGAATCATTCGGGTTGAGAATAAACTCAAACTATATAGTTTGTGTATATAC